GTATTTACGTATCAAAACCAATAAAATCGTCACTTCAGAGGTATAATGCCTCGGGGTATTGAAGAGGCTATCATATTTCTCTTCTGTACTCTTTTGAGGAATTTATATATGAAGACTAAAGTCACCTTTTTTTTTCTCATCTTAAATCTAAACATCCAACATCCCACGTCAAAAAATTTGCTTCAAAAATAGATAGCTAACTTTCAAACAGCCTTGTTACCTTCAGACTCAATAAGCTAAACGCGTCTGCGGATGTCAATGGCTCTACTTATGTCTTCCTTTGCATTTTAAGAGCAGCCACATTCTTTAACTTTCAAATCTTGTAGGTCCTTTTTTGCAATGTTATACTCATCGTCCCAGTACAGCATTGAAAAGGGCAACATTTTTGTGGGGGAGCAACAACTACCAGTGTAAGCAGGTGGACCCAGGTTTTTTTTTGCCGCCTCTTGCAGTATGATGGCTCGTTCACTAGTAACTCTCGTATGAAGGCTGTCACAAGAACCTTCACAGAAATTGGCATAGAATCCCTGCGGATGTATTACCCAATCCCAGCCAATTTTGACGAAATCCACGTAAAAAGTGCGGCGACAGCACGATACTGCTTGCCCGGCAGGGCAACCGTTATCTTCGCGTTTTTTCCTCTTCAGTGTTCTTGGCTTCTCTAAGTCGATAACGAGAAATGGCCGTAGTCTGCCTCGCGAGTTGATTAGCTGACTAACGTTCGAATCACAGTCCAGGCAAGAGATTTCTAAGGCCTGTACGCCATTGTCGGTTCCATTGCCAGTTCCATTGCCAGCATCGTATTGGTTAGCTGTCTTGTTAAACCAGTGCCGAACGATTTCTTTCACGTCTATCATTTCCCATCCTGAGCCAGTTCGTTTTGATTTTAACTTGGTCTTCGTCGTTCTGCGGATTGGTACTTTGGAGGTGCCTCTGGGTGACTCTTTGTCATGTGCATAAATGTGAAGTGTTTTCTTCCTTAGCTCGTGTTGTCTGCTTTTCCGTTTATGAACCCACAGAAACGCAGAGGGCACTAAACTGGACAGCGATTTTGGCTCAATTCTAAACTGGAAAATCAACTTCTCGGAAAATTTGCGCTTTGATTTCGAAGGTGAAAGTTTAGCTAAAATTGAAGAGAAAGAAAGCGGGTAATTCATTAGACTAAGTTAAATATAGTTTTGTAACATAATTAGAAGGGATATTTGATCATCAATCAGTTAGCAGCGAAAAAATTAAAGCTAGCCCATGTGAATTTTTTTGTATGCCTCTTTAGAACGTTTGTATACCACATACTTGTCAAATATGAAAACATTGAAGGTTTTGATTATTTGCATGCATCCTATTGTTTCACCTGCTATTAACTGTTGTTTGAATTAATACCAATTGTTCCTAGTGCCCCTCCTTTTATATAAAGTTTGACATTCTTTCATAGGTACTGTCTGGATAATTTTGTTAATGTGAGATGGTAGAATGGCACATGTTTCTAAGATTCCGTGTCCTTAGTTGAAGATAAACTACAAGCTACCGATGCAAGGTTTTAATGAAGTAAGGAATGACGAAAATTGGTTCACTCTCCCTCCATATTTTGCAATAAACCTACGTGACAGGACTAAAACAATTTCCAAAGCACTCTCTGAGCGGTTGTGAAAGGACATATAGAGCGACTCCGCCTCCCAATGTTCGTAACACAATGACCATTAACTTAGAAGCAGAATTCAAAACAAAACACGTTATTTCAGTTAACACCGCATGAGGTGCCGAGAACTAATATCTAGAACGTCAAGGCAGCATTTTGTGTAATTATGAAGTTGTTGCAACATTAGCTCTTGAACTTTGCTCTGTTACTGTCTGCGGTGACGAGTGAATTGACAAGAAATATGCTGAAATATTTTAACTGCTGCCCTCTTGACCATGCCGGTATCAAAACGTCCTGAAAACAAAGGCAAAACTTGAAAGCCGGACCATGACCTTGATGGAAATAATCTGTGGAGAAACATGACAAAATGCGACTTCGTATCTACCCCTTAGAGCACGCAAAATTGTTCCTCTTACCTTTTTCGCCGAAAACAATGAGTTTGCTCGTCTTGTCATACTTTCTGTCTTCGTACTCTTCCGTTTCACTGTCATCGTCATTCATATCAATAAGATTTAAACTTAAAAGAAGGTCTGCGATCATTTTGTCCTTTGTTTTTTCTATGTGGACGACTGGTTGTTTGTCCATTTGAAGTTTTTTAAGTATTTTGGCTTTGATAATCTCGATTCTCAATTTGTACATATCTGAATCCTCGGTATATAGGTCGTTGTTTCCACTGGCGGTCGGTTTCTGATCTTGCACATATCCATTTGAAGTGGGAATTGACGTCGGAGTTTTAACATGTGCTAGCGACGTGTTACTACTAGGCGATGTAGTAGCTTTATCACGGTTCACGCTCAGAGCGTCTCCTTCAGGAAACGTTATCGCGGTTAGATAGAGTGCTAAAATTGCGCTGCAGGAAAATCCGGCCATTTTAGCACGAGCATTGACTAGTGCTCTGGTCTGATGACGATGAGTTGGAAAATTAACACAAAACCTGTTTGCACAGCTCATAAGCTCATAAGCGCAGGAAACAGTTTGATTACCACCTCGTGAGATCGAAGCATTTTAACAAAGAGGATTGTACACAAGCGCAAAGGCTGTCAATAAACCGATGAATTGACCAATCACATGTACGCAACCTTTCATCGGATCACATGTCTAATTTATTGTCTTTATATTGTTGTGCAGGCCTCTTGATCTCCTTGGAAGTGTTTCACCGGCGAGCTGATTTTGACAGGGCTAACCATATAAACCACTAATCTCTCAATCAAGAGGTGATTGCAATTTCCGGTTCTTGAAATTTCCTACTCATCCCATTACCCGCCGCACTCGTTGGGTAACTAGTCGTATTATTTGTCGAGAATGTCTGCTAATAGTTTGGGAGGTGATAGCTAAACACTGCACTCCCCTTATCATCAACAGGTCGTTGCCAGTTTTCTTTAATCTCATTAAAATCAGTTTATTATTTCTCTTGCCTGTCATAGTGTACAGCCTTTGACTGTCAACACATTCATCTTTGATGTTAATAGGAAAATATATTTCTTTGTCACCAAGGTACAATGCAAACGGCGTATTGTTGAAAATTTCATGGCAAAATTCGACTAAACGAATAATGATAGGTCCCCAGAGATTAAGGAATTAGCGATATTTTATTCAAAATAGGCTCTTGTAAGCTTAAACCCCACTAATGAAAAGAGGTCAGAGCTGGTATCAGCCTGCATCATTTTACAAATCTCATCAGGCTACGATGTCAGTGCTAATAGATACATGTTCACAAAATCAGACTAAAGGAATCTTAATACTCCGGATTCCAACACTTACCCCAACTTTAGCAGATGATGGCACTAATTCGAACTACTCTGCATTAAATGTCTGAAAAACGACTTTTAAGGTGGAAATTCTTGACCCATGTAGGATCTTAATGACCGTTTGATTTAAAACCTCGTCAAACAGAAATGCAATGCGTTCGAGTGTTATACGTGCCGGGCAATTTTTGTGTATAGATTTGATGAGTGTTTCGTGACCAGGGGAGTGAATTCCTGCGCACGTCTTTTTATAATTCTATAAAATTTTATGTCTTTTACTTCCCACAGAAGCTTATAAAATCGCCCACAAAGATAAGAAAAATTGGCTACAGGGTTCTTTAGCGAGCCATTATCTATAAGGCCTGTACGCGATTTAGCGAAGACTTCGAGGGTCATGTTTCTAGTTCACGGATGCAGGAGTTTTAGGTAGTAAATACTCTTTCAATGCGAAGGAAATGCAAACTACTAAAGTAGAAAATGTTGGTTGTGGTATGAATTAGTCATCCACTGTTACTAAACTGGTTTGGAAATTACATGCACTTTGGGTTGCAACACACTCATTTCCCTAAGCTTGTCAATCAGTTTTACATCTGTAGACTAATCACCTTGGAAAGGCAAAACGAAATTATCAGCTTTTAGGGGACTATTTGCCGCCGTACCTAAAAATAATTACACGGTTAAATTTTGATTGTATGATGAGATAAACTATTTTATCGCATAAAGCCTAGAGGCTTCCAGCAAAATCTTAACATTTATATTGAATTTTGTTATTTTTGAATCAGCTGCATAGATATTAATATTAGGAGCACGCGCTTTTGTATCTGTTCATATGAAAGGTTTTTTTTTTAATAGATAGTCGAAATTGGAGTGACAAATCATGGAAAGTGTTATGGCGGAGCATCGACTGATTAAAACTTGAAAACAGCTGCAAACTCTTAGTTTAAATTTACCATATGTTATGGCTTGTGAGCGCAAACAAACTTTTCTTTTAACCTCTTCCGCAAACAAACGTCAACGGAATCGATTTCCTGCTATGTTTGTGCGTGGGTGTTTAGTAATTGACAAACAACCATTTTAAATGTGTAACTCAATAAAGCTTCCCCTCGCAAATAAACTTTTTTAGAGGTTGCATTGCTTAAATAGTTTCACGAGTTTGTACTGGGTCATGGAGAAACTTGCCAAAATCATTACAGTAAATCACTAGATTAGCGACAGATAACATCCATTTGCTTTGAGAGATACGCGCACTGTGTGGTGGTTGCACACTGCCCAGAAAAATTTTCAGCAGCCAAAATAATCTGTCTGTCTCCTTTTGGTTTGTCAATGTACTTCTGAGCAAACAATTTTAACAAAGCACTAGACAATGTTGCTTTGCCAATGCGGAAAATGTTCGACAAAGTGAAATGTCTCCTGACATGTTGCGGATAGTTTATCATTAACTACATGTACATCGACAATCAGCGACCCACATTTGTTTATTTTTGGTTAAAGGTACTTAAAACGGATTTAGCTCGGAATTTCAAAATTTCAAAGCTTTAACATGTCGGTCAGTCTTGGAATTTGAGAGTGTGCAGTAAAGATACCCTTCTAAATCTACAAACGGTTTTTTTTTCTTTCACGGCGCCTTGGGTTTAGGTGTTTAAATGGTTAACCTCAAAGTAAAGAAAGAAGTTGATAGCCAAAGGGATTTAATAGCATCTTTTCTGAAGATTTCTAGGCAATTCGATTAACAGTGTTAGTCAATTTGTCCCATGAAGGATTACGTCTTCAAATAACCAAGTAGTTCATCAAACGGAGCTTATCCTGGTTTCCGTAGCATAAAGCGGCTTTAAGGGTATTGTTACGATGAGGGATGTCTCAGAATTTTTGTCAGTTTAGCTAATGGTATTCTGGTAATCTTACATCGGCTACTGAAAAGAGAGACACGTAAGCTGAGAATTTGAGATCAATCGTCAATTAACTGAACTATAAATTTTATTTATAATAAATCGTTAATCTTTTTTCATTCGAGGAGTTAGACAATGAGAAGAAAACAATAGTCTGAGCCCTCTTTTCCGACAACCGTCGGACTGCATTCAACCAGCATGATTTCCTTTCCGTGAGTCAGGAGTCTCGGACTGAAATTCAAGACTTTCTTCAAAAACGGGAGAGCAAAAACTCGAATTGGATGGATTTTTCCGAAAATCCTGTGCAGAAAAGCCCACCAGTTCAGTCTTGTGCAATTTTAAACTCCCATGTTCCCTGTTAACCTGCGCATTCCTCGTCTAAATCTTGTAAGGCTAGGTCTGGTGCTGCATTGAGATCGTTTAGCTGACGAAATCCTTCTTTCAGTTGCTGTGACATCTGTGACCTTGGGTGGGTCTGTAGGGTCAATTTCAATCGCGCGCAATTCTAGAACAAATCGAAATGAAAAAGACCAAAATTGAGGGGAAAAACGGCATAGTTTGCCTGCGCTCAATTTACCCATAGAAATGATTGGAACTGCGTTTTCATGTAACCTTTCTTCTCCTGCGCTGCTGAAAATTATTGCTAAGACTATGTTCAAGGCAAGAGCAGTCAAAGATAGTGCATGCATGTTAAGTTCAGGTTTCCGAGGTGAACTTGTGCTCACGCCCTTAAGTGTTCCTTAGCGGTTGGCACACGTTCAGAGTTACTCAAATCATCAAACGAGTGGTTTCGCCAAAACCTAAGGGTTTCCTGTATACAATACGCAGAAAGTAAATCAAAACTCGTTCCAATCACGTACTGTTGAGACCAATTTGTTAGTGTAGGTGAAACAGTTTGTTGAACTGTGATACATTTTCTCCGTGCACTTCAGTGGGAGTGACATGTCGTAAACAAGATTTGTACGTACCAAAAATGCACACACGCAAGGTATTAAGTAGAAGTAGATGTCAAAGCAAGCCATTGAATTTCTTTTTCTGACGCCGACTGTCTGTAACGTGAACTTTGGAAATGATTTAAGAAAAACTAGTGACCCGCTGAAAATTTGCGAAACCATTAAAGCATTTAAAAAGAAAAGGAAGCTAATAAGATGGCCAGAATTCTTTATTACGTTGATTTTAATGCATTCTATTCCTTGTTGTTTCTACTGAAAATATTAGCAGCCAGAAAGCATTCTACAATACATTAGAAATGGCTAAAAACTGCAAACATTGCGGAACGAGCAAATTTTGTTACCCACTTGTTCAGACTGAATATGTAATACCGCCTAATGCTACCTATTATGCTTAATTGTATTAGCATAAGAGTAAAGTGAAGGCATTAAACTCTTTTCAGGCACACGTGAAACGTTTCTGGCTAAATGACATTGTAATTCCTACTTGTAGTATGTATAGATTACTTAATGTGCTTTCTCTATGGTAACATAAAAATCAAAGTCATTACATTACATTAGACTCAAAATATCGTCGTATCGAACAGCAAACGAGCGTTGATTCACTACCGAGGAAATTATTCGATCACTTGCCGTAAGAAACGCAAGGCCTATTTTTAGACTCAGACGCCTTTGAGAGGGAGAATAAATGCTTGGCATGTGTTTAATTTTTTTATCCAGGGTGTCGGCCGACTGCTCATAAGAAGGGCACTTAGCCTAGCTAAGCTATCACGAAGAAAGGCGACGTGTTGTCTTACAACTAGAAAAGCCGATACACTTAAGTCAAAAATTGTTTTAAAATAACATTATCAGTAGTCACTCAACGCCTGAGCTCCCAATGCAGTGCTTCCGCAAAAACGCCCACGCATCGTTTCTACGATATGAACCTGCAAATAAGCTAAGCAAAGAAACAGCAAGGCTAATGATTATCCCGAAAATGGTCTAATCCCCTTATCATCGAACTTAAAATCAATAACTGTATAGTTTCTCTAATCAAAATGTAGCAGCTTGAACGGTTAGCAGGTTGACTCTGCTCTAAACTTAAGGCTTTTATTGTTACTTTCCTTGTAAGAATGTCCTCGTAATCCCTTCTTTATGATGTAAACAGACGCCATATATCAAATCTTTAATGCCCTATCTGGTTTCATTAATGGTATATCTTACTGTGCGTCTATCAAGAGCGAAAAGGACGTTATGTTTATTTGCACGTTTCTCAAAATTCCTTTGAGTATATGTCAAATGTGTTAATCAATGTCCAAAACTATTGTAAAGAATTACTGATAAACAAATTTTTCGATAGTTATACAGGTTGGAAAGGTGAGTTCAAAATTGATCTGACCTTCCTGAAGACAAAAGTTAAAAATTTTATCACCTAGCAAACAAGCTTAAAAGAGCAGACTAACAGCGATGCATATTCTTTCATCAGTTCAATAAATTCTATTTCACTTAAAACTTACTTACCCTTTTACAGAATGGTACTTAACTTCTCTGAGTCACAAAAGTACTCTAACTATTAATATAATTAACTGTCTACCGGTCCTCGGCAACACGTGTGACTTTGAGCCAGTTTTTCTACATCTTAATCAGTTTCTATACTCTTACGCTCTACCGATGCTGAATTTAGCCCCTTTTTTCGAAGTTTCCCTCCAGGGTGTAATCACTGAATGAAAATCTCTCTTGTTAGCCACAAACATTAAAGGATATAAATCAAGTCATTAATTTTTAAGGGTCTTGATACCTCATTATAAGGTTAAGGTATGAATCAATTCAGGGATTAAAGGTATTTTTCCTCAAGTCCTTAGTTACTTAGTACAATCGTGACTGGATCACGAAATAGTTTTCTAACTTACGGTTGTAAGTCAAATCCTTCAGTTGCCAAAGAAATACGACATATTAAATCCGACCTCGGGTCAGTAAAATTCCTTTGTTATCATTTCTGTCCCTCTAAGATCTGAGTTAAGGGTGAATTATGAATTCTCATCGTCACATAATCCAAGCAATGATTGCATGTCGAAAAGACTTTCAGTTCATATTCCTAAGATGTGCTCAGTTCATCGATGTCAAACTAGGAAATATTTCATCTCACATGCATGCTCTAGTGTCTCAAATACAGTAGTACCCTATAAAACAAAGCTGTCCTGGAAAGTGAGGTGAGTGAGTCACCTTAAAACAAGAAAATACGCAGAAGGAGACAGAAACTTTCAAGACTTCACTGAAAACCGTGAGGTATTCTCGTAAAACGAGTCTGTAACTGCCCTAGTAATTGCCCTAGTAATTGCCCTAGTAATTACCCCAGTAATGTTTTGAAGTATGTAGAGCAAACGATTCTAAACATACGCGCAATACGCTCTGTAAACAACACACGTACAAAGAGCGACTGTGTTTCAAACAACTTCAGTATGGAAAAACGTTCCATAAATAGTGTCCTTTTAACCTGTTAAGAACATTATTCAGTTATCTGAAAATATTCTTATCATCTTACAGTTCGCACACGAAATTGGACGGTTGGTGAGGTGCAATGGATTTCTGGCAACAGCACAAGGTAATGGAAAGTCGTAAAACTTAAACACATGAAATATTCGCTGCTCACAACCCTTTGAACAAGAATAAAACAACAACACTATCTTTTCCTAGCTATGTATGAGGATTTCATTGCATGAAAGGTACTATTAAAAGAATAATGATAGCAATGAAAGAAAGACTATTTTAGAATTACGTATGGTAATGCATTTATTGTTCGCCAGCTGTTCCTATCGAATCTCCATTAATTTATTTGTTCAACGAGTTGTCATATCTGATGATAGTGCACAGGATAAATTCGACTGTGATTTCTTTCATAATGACTAACTTTTTACTAACTGAGAGGTCAGTGTGTATGATAAGAATAATCTCGACTGAGATATTAAGGATCTCTTTGTTTTTTCCAGTAGTATTGTATTGTACCCCTCGTTCGCAGAACTATATCTAAAAAAAATGTATTGGAGATAGTTAAAACTCAAACTTGTTCGAGATATTATGAATTTTGTTTTGTTTAGATCGGAATGTTTCCGTTAGGATAAGTCTGTGAAACCTATGTGATACCAGGAAATTTGAATAATGGTTCTCCAAGGAAAAATAAGACACCTATCTATGAATTTTCTATTAAGCTTGTTTCATCAAAATCTCTGTAACAATTTAGTTTAACATTCCTTATCAAGCGTCAGACGATCTATTTTGGGTGCAACAATGAGGATTTTTTGGTGCAAAGTTCTCTCAGGGTGGTGCGCAATCCAATCATTCCTAAGATATTTAGTCGTCGTTTTTTTATCGCAAAATATACGGTGTCCTTGTGGTAATTAACTTATATACCATCCTGAGAGGTAGTTTTCCTTGGCTGACACAAATTATATTGTCAATCGTTGTATCAAGTGTCCGTGGTGCGATCGCTCTTGTCAATTCCCGGGTCGTATGTCTAACTGGCACACGCGTTGTCTGTTGATGAAATTCCAATGCGGGATTATCGATAGCAGCCACCTTAAAAACAGCAAATGTTTTGTTTTTACATGCGACACGATCGAACAGGTTTTCGCAAGTGGATGACGACCAAATCAGACGAGTTGTGAATGAAAGTTATTAAACAAGATTTTTTTAAGGGATGCTGTGATTGATATTCCATGGGGCTTAAATGTTTAAACTGAAGTTTCTTGGATTAAAATGACCATCTCTTACAACTTTCTAAAATTCTGAATCTCTCCTTTCCTTACCTTAAAAATGATTCCGTAGTTTTACATGCTGCCAAGATCTTTCTTTATTGTTGGACAGGTTTACTTGGTTTTCGATATGCACTGTTTTGATTACTGAATAATTTGAAGAAGTCCGTGCACGACGTGTTTATATCAATGCGAATTAAGACATAGAGCCGATTTTATTGAATACTTTATATTTTGAACAAAATCATGATCCTTAACATAGAGCGCTCAGGTTAAATAACGATTTTTCATTTTATCTATATGTACATATTATGTTGTATTTTAACAAATGTTTCTTCCACCACCGATAAAGTGGGGAAGAAAATTCAGTCTTAAATAGAAGTGCCAGAAGTTGCCAAGACTGACAGCATTTTGCTTTTTTACTTCACTTAATTTGCATTCACAAGATCAACATTCTTTCTTTACAAAATGTAAAAAAAAAGAGAGAACAAATAACTGCGTATCTCTTACATCTTTCATTTTATCTTTCAACGTAAACCACAGATTATGGTGATACTCTTACCGGGATCTCTTCTTTTAGCTGATTTTCTGTTTACTTTCTAGGAATACTAAAAACTGGAACGGTTTTTACTGACGTACAATTTCATGTTTTACATCATGGCCGAGTAAAATTTATAAACTTACTTATTTCAACATGATCACTTGTGCGACTTGTGGCCATGAATATTTCACTCACCGCAAGCAGAAATATCATGTACTTGTAACAGGCAAAGATAAAGTGCACTATTTAAAGAAATTTATGTTTGGAAGAATTGTAAATCAGAAATAAAGCAGCGATGCTTGTTCCAGATAATAAGATAAACAGCTGATTTCCAATTCTTAACTGTTCGACTGAAATCCCTAACAATGAGAGCCAGATACCGTTAATCTTCTTATGGCAATGTGATTAATAGTCGCGAATTGATGTCATGTATACTTACATCTGTTTAAATGGTTTTACCTTGAACCCGCGTTCACCGAAAAAAATTGACTGGAGCCATTCTTTACTTTTTTTCTTCTGTTCCTAAAGTATGCCGCACAAAGCTATTAAAGACCTTCATTGCAGCTAGCAATGCCAGACCGTTTTAATGTTTTTCAGAGTTTTCGTTTTGTGACCATGTTGATACTCTACTGTTTCGTCGCTTTCTTCTTTCCTTTTCGTCGCAGTATATCGTTACATTTTGCGTGTGTCTTTTAATTTGCAAATTTTTCAATGATCTCTTTAATCAGGCTCTTTCTTTGATTTTCTTGATAGGATTGAATACTTATGTTTCAATTTTTTTTCCTTTAAAGGCGTTTCGTCCTCAAGGCTTCGAGCCTAGAAGCTTGTTCTTATAATTTTTTATAAGTAATGAACGGAGTCAGGGTTGAAGCTAAATAACTATTTTTCAAGTGAGAGGTGGCAATGATGAATTAATAAGCCCTACTCGAATACCTTCCTATTTATGGCTTCATCTTTTCATCAGCTACATTTATAATTGTCTTATTGATCAAATGACTCGCGGCTTGTGCATCCGTCAAAGACCAATTAGGTTCTTCAAGATGGTTCCAAAGAGTGTTCGAGGGTTTTAATTGAGTTAATGGTCAGTGTTTTGAATATGAAAAGGAAGCCTCTGACCTTTACATACCTCAGGACTAATTTCAAAGCACTAGAATCTGCAGCGACCTTCTGAAATGCAGTCGGTCAAGAAAGCGGTAGAAAGTTGAGGAAAAAGTTTGTTGAGTTTTGGGGTGCATAAAATTAGTCACAACCGGATGAACAGATCATTCAATTGAGAAAGGAAAAAGTTTCTTTCATATTTCTAACTTCGATGCTATTTTAGTCAACTCCTATAGAGTACTCACTATTCTTATAAACTTTTAGGGAAAAAAGTCTATCTGACAAAAGGTATGTTCAGCTTTTGGGTTTAACTGTTCCATCAGATCATCTTTCAATGACCAAGGAAAGATTTGGAAATATTTTCAAAAACTTACAAATGGAATGTAAACTTCACAATGATATACAAGTTACATAAGAGAATTACTGGAAGAAAATATTTTAGCCCACAAACTTCAAAAAATTGTTCACGGTTGTCACGTGTATAGGCATACGTAGGTTCATTACGATTATTATGCAATACTTTTTTTGTCAAATTTGTGTTATCGAAAAAAATAATTATATTTAGAATAAGAGAAACATTATCTCTGACCGCAATTATTGAGTGTCGTCTCGCCACAGGTTGTGAAGGGCTTAACTTGCCTTTTTGCTGAACATAGGTATGATTGGTCGTAGCCTTGAAAATTTCCTTTTCGTGAAGCCTGTGATCATTGAGGCTGATTTTTGTCAGTGCACAGGCGCAAGCAAAAGCGCAAGAAAAAACCTTGCACAAGCAAGCGATAGAGGTATTAGCGAAAGAAGAACGGGCACACTCCGTATTTCTCTGAATTCGAGATGATGCACAATTGCTTCTGCTGAATTTTCAAGTAGACTTGAGTATTAGAACTAGTAAGAACTTCTAAGAGAAATAGATCTAACAATCACCTGGCGATCAGATGTTGTACCCCCTGAAGGCCACTTGCAACGGGCTCGTCGTAGAGGCTTAGTCATCTGTATGCCACGGAATAACGAACCCTAAATTTAAACAAAAAAGAGTTTAGCTGGCCCATAATAACTATTCCACCATCATAATTTTTAAGTCAGATACTGTAGAGACAAGTACAATGTGTGGCTAGGGAACTTCGGAAGAATTTGCAGCCCTGTTTGCTGTCAAAAAGATGTTTCCAAATTTTTCTAGGGAGTGAAAGGTTAAAAAAAGAATTCCAAAAATTTTATTTTTTGAAAAACATTTCTGAATCAGATAGCAGTCGGTCCCCTTACAAGCCCATCAAATGTAAAGGTTTGTAAACAACATTTTGGAGACCTGCCATACGTTGACACTCACCTATTGTAACGATTTGAAAGAGAAAACTCTGGGGCAAGGAGAAAATTGAAAACAAATGATAACAAGAAATTAAATATTTTCAGTGTTCAGTTCATATTTGTGAGATGAAGTTGATCAGTCCTTTATGCACTTGTCAATGATCTTATGTGCATCTTTACATGATAAAATGAACTGCTTCTTTCCTTTCGTTACACTGGTGTAGAAGAGAAAAATTGAACCATCAAAGACAAAAGAATGAGCAGGTAAATTTGACTATTTGGGTCAATGGTCAAAGAAAATATGAAAAACCGCTTAAGCGCAATTGTTCGGTTACAGCACTAAAGAAATTAAGTATTTTTGAGATGGAACATGTGTCTAATACTGATAGCCTTTCTTTAGAGACTGGAGATAATTTTTTAGGTCATTAGTTTTGGCATACTCTATCTTATTATGAATTTAGGACAAAGCTTGCCTCGATAACGCAACTAGATTTCTCTCTGCACTCTTATTTTTCGAAGCTAAGCAATATCAAATGTATCAACATCTTCTAACCGTCGTTGACAGTTCATATAATTTTTTGGAAAAGCGAAATACAAAAAGAAAGTTGTTGAAGTATGTTCATTTTAGGTATCGAGTCAGACCCTCTTTTAAAAATCATTCTAGCATGAGAATCAAAATGTAACGTTAGATCAATTTCCTATTTTTTATGAAAAAAGAAGAATTTCCCCGTGGCCGATATCTGGTGATGAAGCGTGACCTACTCTATCTTCGCTTCATAAATGAAATGAAATTTTTTCGCAATTTTCCATGTTACCATATATTTTGCTTTAATCGTTTTGACACCATTTGACAAATGAATAATCAGATATAAGTACAAAAAATATATGCAACTCGTTTACAAGTTACAAGTGTGGTTGGGAATCCTTCTGCGATTGAGAGCTAGACTGCTAACCTCTTGAATTTGTGGACCGGACTTTGAGCGCGATGCTCAACGAGTTTGATAGAAAATTCCGAGAAGTATCTGATGAGTCTCTACGCCGAGACTAAACGCCTCGTCAAACCAGCGACAAAGTATTTTTCATAGGTATTTAACAATTTTTGATACTGTGTAAACAAATAAATGCATAGATAAAAGAAAAATGGAGTGATGAGCGGCCAGGGGGGAATTTTTGAGCTATATCACCTTTATTTAAAGAACAAAAAAACTCTCTGAATCTGCCGGTGCGCTAACTAACGTTCAGTATAACGAGCAAAAGACACGTTTTCTTACTGAGTAGCCACAATCCAGGAAGAAGAAAACGAAGGAATAATAAGATACAGCGATTGTATGGAGGATGAAGAGGAGATTATTTATAAGAGAAAGCCAAAAAACAAGAATCATACCAGTGAAATTGATCCTGCGCGTTAGAGGGCTTGCATTTATTATCATTCTGTATGAGAATAACCAATTCTTACATCAAACTTTCCTATGGCATCAAATGTGAGATCATGTCTGCGCGCATTCTATGACATTCGACCACAATTTCACTACTTAATAAGCCAATGGCACTATAATTTGTTTAGATTGAGCTTTTTCCGGCGTCTAGTGTAGATTAATGGATTAGGGTTATTTATGCAACCCTTTGATGAAATTTTAGCCCATGGCAGATTTTCAGACATTTTCCTGCGGCCGGTAATCTGAAATATTCCCAGGCGGAAAAGAATACTGTCCGAGTTTAAGTGTTCAACGAGGCAAGAGAATATCAACATTTTCAATTCTCATGAACAAAGTTATGAAATAACTCATCGAAAACTGAGAAACAAAAGAATAAGTATTTTGTTCCTTGAATAGAAATAGAAATAAATTCTTCTCCGTATCCCAATAGTATTGGAAGGGGGGCGGGAGCGGTGAAGGGTCCGATTCTTGTTTGTAGTTTAAGCAATTCCACAAATCACGTATTTCATTTTAAGTTAACGAGAAAACGTCCATCACAGATTACTCCAGTTAACTTATGTAAGTCCGAAATTCCTCAGACGAGTTCACAGTGCACAAGGTCTGTTCTGTTTTGAAGCGACCTCGACTTCGAAAACGCAAGGGAATTCCATGTGATTTATTTTCAACAACAGAAGTTTGAATCTTATGGTGATGACCTTAACTTATTTAATACGAAAAAAAAGCTGTGCTCGGCAATATGATTGCCCATCCTCATCGTGTGCGAAATGTATCGATGAAAAGTTCAAAGCAACAACATTACATCGTCAAGATATCCGTGCGCGGTTTGATCGTATCTTAAATTCTGCCAAGAGAACAAACGAAACCAAAACTCGAACTTATTTGTCATAATCTTCGCTCTTCGCTGCCATTGCACTTAACACGCAAGTCAACATGGTCGAACCACGCGTGCAGAGTTGACAATAGCCATTTCTGAGGATAATATTATAAAGCTTTGAATGGGAGCTTAGGCTCCGCTTTGTAACTCCGTAAAATAATGAAGCAAATATACTCTAACCTTCACATAGTGTTGATAATGTTATTTTTGTTCTCTGGAAGCAATTTTTAGGCCATTCCGTCGAGTTTTAGCTGAGCTTTTATCTCACTATTGACTGTACTAAGGTGAAGAAGGGAAGAAGGCTTCGTTAAATCAACGGACTGACTCACTCTCGAAAATCGCTCGATTCTTAGACTAAACCACGTCTTCCCACTTCGAGACTCTCTTTAACGAAAGTCAGATAGTTTTCCTTCAAGTTTATCGAAAAATATTCCATAAAAGCTCTGCTGTCGAGGACTCAATTCCGCGAAAATGTTAAATGACCGGTCATTTTGAAGCCCTTCGAATCTGCAGTAAGAACTTCTTGAACATTTCGGCGACAGGGTCGGTCTGGACACCAGCCAAATTTACCCCAAAGGACACCCCGACAGCCATAAGTCACGTATGTTTGCCAATTCTAAATTTTTCACTTACCAAGTTGTAGTTCTAGAGCAAAATGCAACTGAGATTGTCTTTTTTCTTTTGGAAAAGTCTTCTTCGTGTTTCCTCTTCATTTTTTTTACAAAGAGAACTACAGGATAACAGGGCCCCTCGTGATTCAAATACTGAAAAAATCCTCAGTCGATGATTCCATTAACCTGTAACAGGAGTCTATTGCCGGAAATTAATTTTGAATGAGTCAATTAATGTTTGAGATTATATTATCAAATCATAATTCAAGAACACGGTCCACAAAACAAGAGGATCGCGGCTGAAATTAGGTTTTCAATTCACATATCACGGCTGCATTTGAGCTCTGACCATATGAGTAAAAAATTAAAACATATTACTGTATTGTAATATTAGGATAGCAAGAATTATGAACTAAAAAGAGCATCGAATGAGATGGGGGTCACAAAATTCTATTAATAACAAAACAGACAAAAAATGATATTGAGTTAAAGCCAACTTCAATGATTATGTATACGTGGAACAGCTAAACAGTATGATGAACGAAATCTGTGAGAGATAGTATATGACATTGTTTACTGGGCAGAAAATCTCGAAATTGTTGATTTGTCCTTGCAGATTGCCGTTAAATTTTTCTTTATGACCAGCAAAGTGATAGTCTTAGTCTTAATGATAGTCTAAATTTGGCAATTTTTAATTCAATCTTAACTTGTATCGATGGTGAATTGTATTTTTAATAGTATTTTTATGTACTGATCACCGGTTTATACCAGCGTTCTTTTTGATGAATTCGCTGATCCGTTTTTTCAGTTTAAATAGAGCATTTGTTATTATCATTATTATTATTATTATTATTATTATTATTATTATTATTAGTTGAATCATCGGCTGCCGGGTTTAAGTAAGTACCCCAAAGTGAGAGTGTGTGCAAAAGAAACCTATTCTTGGATGAGGCACGGTAATTAACAATTTTAACAGAATGAGTTATTTACTATGCTGCCAACTTACACATTTCTTTGGTTTTTACAGAGAGACCAGAGAAATGCTCTTTCACTAAAAGACAGACTACTGATCACGATTTAGAAAGGTGAATTAGTCCTTGTGAGGAAGCAGGGAAGGTTGGGGTCGACAATTTGCAAATAGGTTTTTCGTATAGGGAGTGCGATAAATATGTAATGCAGTGTTAAAAATTTCGATAACAAGATGAATGTTTTTAGAACTTCCAGATCTCCACCAAAGAACAAGTTATTCAAGCCAGAAACTTCAGTTTCTGGCTTGTATAACTGTATAAATGTAGGTTTTTGATGGTCGTCACCTACTTCAAAGAATTTGATCGTGTGGTGGGGACTCACTGAAAATCTTGGCAGTCACGTGCTTCCTGGCTCTTCATATCCCGATCCTATTTTCAGACACATTAACAGGATTAAACATATTTTCGTAGTACTTATTAAAAATTATAATAATGTAACCTGAAAGCATTCAAACCAAATAAATTCAACCAAAAGCAATGCGTATTTTTGTCTTGTGTAATTCCTAATGCTTACTTATCCATGGATTGAAATACAAGGGAACAGATCTAGATTTATCGACACACAGGAGTACTTCAATTATTTTTAGTTCATTTGAGTGGTGGTGGGAGAGAGAGCGCGTTGCGTGACGAGACCAAACAACGGCTGCGAAAGAGACTAGGCCCCAAAACGATTGTTTTCGGTTTCAAGCCGAGACCGAGCGCTTGGTTCGAATGAGACAATCGGAGCGCGTACGATTGTGTAAATCACTCCCAATACCTGGATTGCCTCTTATCTTCTTGGTGGTTAATGAGAGGTTTTTGTGTCAGATTCGTGCGTATATTTGAGCATTTTTTCATTTTTGCTTGTTTGTTGAATTCGTCCAGCTTTATCGTGTTTCGATGAGGCGATATAAAACTGGAAAAAATCTTTCATTGCCTACCTATCCTTTCATAGCATATTTGGCAGGTCAGATAGCAGATAATGAAAAAAAAAATCCTATTTTCCAGGAGCTATCGATTCATTTACGCTTTATGCGTGTGGTTGAAAGTAAAAACACATGGGTAAAGAGAACGGCTAGAAGGGAACGTTGAACCTCATTATCAGGACTAATTTATGAGACGGTTGATTCACCTAGTCATAGATATTTTACAAGGAAACATCCACGAGTTTTGAAAACCGTGGCAACCATGGTTATCCTCCTTTTATTCATCTGGCCCCGGTTGTTCTAATGTCAGATAATGCTATCCACTGGATAAATCGCTCTCCGGTGAATAGCATGGTAGATTTTGTTAACAGTTATCCGCTGGATAGCAATTATCCGTCGGATGGTGTTATCCGTCCTTTATACAACTGGGCCCTGTTTTTAGTAGTTACCTCGTAAACGAAGATACCATGTGTGATAAGTGATGATGATTATCAATATTCAAAAATATTTGAAACAATTGCATATAATTTATGCTTAAAACACCTGGCTTACAATTCAGCACCTTCATTTACATCATCATTGTGCATAGGCATCACCTATCGACATTCCTATCCCAGCAGTATTCAGGAAGTTTGTCACTATGGGCCTAATTAAAAGGCCAGTAGTAGAGTATCTGAGGTCCTAATCGGAAGGTCGTAGGTCCGACTCCTACCAGGAGCACTCGGAGTTCTTTTTCTCCGAGTAGGCTTCAGTCATTCATTGTATAACATCCTCTTTCACACGTATTTATCCATATCCAGTTGCTGGAGTTATTGAGCAACGCCAGTTTTACGACATCTCGTTAGAACTATTTCCTTTTTCTGCTTAGTTTACCTCGCGTGAGAAATAGCTTAAGGCTATAATCGCCTTAAACTATTTTTTTTCCTTTATTACGTTGCAGATCACGTAACTGTACTCCAGGGCATACCCGTTTCACTTTTTTATGATTGAATGTAACACTGAGAATTAATGTAAATATAACCTTCTCAGAACTTCAAGCGAAAAAATAAATTGACATAATCATGGGAAATCGCCTAATAGTCATTTCTTCTAGTCATAGTGCAGATGTTTTACTCAACAGCGTCTCTATTGGTTTGGAAGTCCCAATTACGTTTTTTACGAAATCGAGTTTTACTGTAAAGAAGGCCTCTTACTCAGATTTATATAAACACAAAAATTCAAATAGCAACATTTCTATAACTTTCATTCCACCGACCATTGAGGCTCGAAATTACATGAAGAACTTTTGATCACCTCGTTACAAACTGTCGGACTTACTCTGGAAAAAATTACTTGTTAAAAGTGCTTATCAAGGGCAGACAGTACGTTAGGGTTTTAAAGGAACCAACCTAGTACAGCATGACGGGCCACAAAAGAACGAGGAATTTTCTTGAAGCTTCGGCTGGGCTTGGCTCACGGTATAATGCAAACTAGAAATTAAAGCCACCTTTACCGCCTAAATACATTACACTTGTAATCCCAATCTAATGTTAATCCAATCAAAAATCTAAAGAATTACATTTGCGCAGCAAGAGTTTTCCGGGAGTTTTCGGGATTCTTCTCCTCTTCTCAAAACGTTTCCTGACACGAAACTTAATGACAAACAAATCACCGAGAAGTAGTGTTTGATTGTTTCGTTTGGATGCTCATACATCGAAGTCTCTTGTAGCATGGAATAGTGACTGCTAGAGTGCGGAAACACAAAACACCGGCCCGATTTTCTGTCTGGGCGGAAGTGAGATGTCTCATAGGAAAGGGGGCGGGGAATAGAGGTTCCAATTCATGGATACCTAATTTCACTGTTTCAGCTTTTCAAAAAAATTGTGAAAAGATAGAAGACAGAATGTGAACATTCTGTTTTCCCCTAGTCAACTCAGAAATCAACTGAATTATAACAAACATCAATAAGGGATGCTTGTCTATGACTTAGCAATCATTAGCGACGTGGGACCAATTTCACATGAACTTGGACTTGAACTCTTTTCCGTTTTACGATATTCATGCTGATAGTATCTTCAATCCATGGACTGCGAAAAGATGAAAGGCAGACTGAAAATTCTGTTTTACTCTGGCTCATTCGGAACTAATCTGACTTAAAGGAATCCTCAAAAAGAGATGCTTGTTTGTATCTCCAGTCCATAAATAAGTACAAGATAGATTCCTAAGTGTTCGATAACACATGAAATTTATCTCTCGGGATTCTTTTCGGAGTCGAATTTATTCAGGGGTCGAGACAGGGTCTTCTGCAAAGAGAATCGTCACGTTTTGCCTCTTGAAAAATTAATTATGCAATTTTCAAGTTGATTGTTTTGGCCTTCTCCAACCCAACTTGTCCTTATTCCTCCTCGGCTTATTGACGCCTCTTCAAGGTCTCTCTGTTTAACTGAGCAGAGGTTTTATAGTCCTTGTGATCTCACCAGAGGTGAAGGCAGTTTTTTTGTGTGCCGCGTGGCCCTCCAAATTTGATGAAATTGCAGATGACTCGTGGCAAGAGAATATCAGTCCAGTTCTTGTAAGTGTGAAACCTAAAAGGTTTACATTCGTTTATACCAGAAAAGTACGGCGAAAAATTTGATGGAAGTGAAAGTATATTACATTCAACATTATTTTGGGAACTTTGTTATCTTGATGTTGGGAATATGAATGGAAATAATATGTATTGTAAACTATTCAGTGAAAACATGAAAGCTAGTTTATCATCTTTTATTCTCTTTACGACCTTATTTTACAACTTAGATTAGTTGATATCGTATCCTGTTGTGAGGAAATAGTCTATTTACGTCTAATTTGGGAGTTAAGGCAGAACGTTCTTATTTTTTTTTCTCGCCGTTGAGCTTGAAAACGTTCTTAACATGTTTTTAAAGTTGTGCGGTAAAGCATGTACAGGTAATAACGTGATTTCTCCTGCAATTTAGGACAAATTAACACGAGTCAATTTTCAAAGGCTAACCATATTGCACGAGCCTGTAGAGCAAGGGCAGTTTGTAGGCTTCGAAAAATATACGAGTTCCTATTATCTCAAATTGCACGGGAAAAGTCATGTGATTACTAGTTAACAATATACAAGCAAAAATATGACTCTGTTTTCCTCTTTAGCTGTTCTTATTCCGTAGCATGGATCGCCGGTTGGGCCGCTTGCTTTGTCTTGTTGCCGAAGTTGTCGATCTTTTCCCGCAAAAACTTACTCAAAACTTTCAAAACCTCTCTCGAGAATAATTTAGCGTTTATACTCTTTCTCCGTTAGGTATCTGTTAACAGCAGTAACCATTATACGAAAGCTATCACGTTCGCAATCTTCCCCGTCTTACGCAACGAATTGTTCCGTAAAACTCCTCGAGAATATTACTCAGGGGCTCCGGTTCATACTTTCATATTCATTTTTAACCACTAGTTACCCCCTGGCTAGGTTTTCTGTTTTTAGCATTCTCACTCAAACTTTGAATTAAAACGTTGTATGGAACTTTCTCCTCACCATTTCTCCGCCATTTTGTTTTGCTGCGCTGTCGCGACTTACCTGTCAATCAATTTTGTTTCAACTTTCTGCACTCAATTTTAGCTTTTTGTACTAAACTTCAACTTTCTGCACTATTTGGGATTAATTGACGTGTTCTCAGCCGATGAGCACGCTGAAATTTTTGCACGTGTATTATTGTAAAATGAATCAATTAAGTTCGACTAAAAACTGAGTTTTGCTTCAGTGTATCGTGGAGAAACCCGCATTGTTAAAGTTAAAAAAAGGTCCCTTAATACTAGAATTAATTTTCGAATTATACCAAAGTTTTGCATTTCTTTTACCTATACTTATACTTCTCACAAATTAGCAAAACAAAGACGGTTCTCAACTGACTCTCAACCTAATATGTTCCTAGGATGTCTTTAAAATTTTGGTTGGTCTCAGTCTGAACGTTCTTATGAAAAGGGTTCTTATAAAAAAAAAAAAAAAAAAAAAAGAAAAAGTGTTTACAGATTTCATGGTAATTGGCTTTTCGGTGAGCTATTCTCCAATTGCACTTATTGAAAGAATTCCAATCCGTTCTCCAATGTAACCGTCATTTATTTGACCAAAACTGATTTCTGTATGGGAATTTCCTTGAAATCTCCCTACTTATATATTCCATTCCTCCTCGTCTTCTCGAACTTGCCGTTTACTTTGTCTTTATGTAACGATGTTTAAATATTATTTTCTACATAACTCTCCAATGAAGTCATATTCTGAGGTCCTCATAAATCGGCTGTTTTGTTGTTTGATCGTGGGTATCCAAGCTCGTGGAATTTCGATTCCGCTTTCCCTATTGATGTTGTTGGGATGAAGTCTTATATGGATAGCCTCTTTAACCCTAGGTGTGTACCAGTGGGGGTCACGATCAATAAACTTAACATTGCTCCAAATAGGAATATGCCCCGTTTCGTTAGCATGCTACGCAACCGCAGAGGTCTGAGTACGAGTAAACCGTATGTCTTCGTCATGTTCTTTCATCCTTTCTCGCATTGATCTTCCAGTTTCACCGATATACACTTTGCCGCATTTTCATGGGATCTTGTAAACGACACCGCCTTGTTTTGATGGTTCCAGGGCGTCTTTAGGTCGTACTAAGTGAGACCTAAGTGTTGTGTCCGACCTAAAAACGGTCCGTATGCCTTGATGTTGTAGGCAGCGGCGAAGAACCTCTGATACACCAAGGGAGAACGGCAGTAGATTTAAATTCCTGCGCGGGCTCTTTGTTGGTTGTTGCCCTTGTTGTCTTTGCGAGTTTTCATACAAATGAAGAAGGATAGCCATTAGAAACCATTGTCGATCTTGTTTTTGTTTTGCCGGATCTAAATTGTGACTTCATGGACGATCGACATGGATTGACAGCTAAGTTACTATCACCTATATATAATCAGATGAATGGCATTTTCTACTCAAACTGAGCTAGAATTCTAAGCTGAAAAGTTGTACGAAAAGTTGCTAAGGAGTAAAGACAATATACCAACAAGGGTGTTAAAGAAAGCCTGAATTTTCCCACGAGAGAAGTCAAAATCCAAGTACGGCGTCATTCGCAGAGCTTATTCTTACATTCAAGGTTCAATCACATGAGCTACTAATTTTTAATTTCTCCTTCTACTACGTATAAATAGTCGAGTGGACACGTGATGAGAACAAAGTAACATGGAAACCAGAGGACATAGGGCAATTCATGGCCTAATTCTCACAACAAGCATAATAAGAAATTTATTGCAAACGATAATGAAAATTTATGTTTGGATCTCAAGGGTACAACAAGGAAACGCTATTTTGGAAAGGTTACTTGTCTTCTTTATTTTATGTGGTTTCTTTTCCTTCCAGGGAACGATGAATAACTCAAGAGAGCTTTCTACGTAAAAAGTAAAAGTTGATCTCTCAACCACTATACAAGATATTTGAAAACATGCCCTGCAAGGTGTTTCTTTGGCGTGTAGGTGTGTGTTACATCACAGGAGCCCCCAGCCTGCAGAACATGGGGTCACTTCTAGGCGCTTTTCCGGCAAGCAGAGGCAAATGGAATGTGAGATTTATTAAAGATTTATTGGCTTTCTCAGTGGATAGGAAAAGTCTTCAAGGTAGTGTGGAACACTCGAGTAATCGGCATCATATGTCAGAGGTAGCTGGCCATGCCGTTCTACTAAAAATTAAAGATCCTTTGATATTGAGATTGATTGTCCGTCAGGAGTAATATATGTCAATTGTCGCAAAACAGTTTGTCGCTGTCAAATAATGGCAGTTTAGGCTCGCACGTAAGTTATTGGTCTAACTTGAGTCTAGTTACGATACTTCGTTATCGCGTAATGCTGCTGTGTAGCTTAAAAATCAAGGACTTTTTTGTAATCAATTTTTGCTGGATTTGCTTTTATCTTAGCTCCTCAGTTAAAAATCCGACAAAATTAGTTGCTTTAGTTCCCCAAATGTAGGAAAAAAGAAACGAGAAAAAATACCCGAAGAGAGACGACAAGGTAGAGAGTAAACGTAAAGTAAATTTTTTTGTTCAATTACGGTAGTGTCAGCACAGGCAGACCCCTTTATGTGTTTGTGGTTACTAACTGTTGACGCGAGACGAACAGAATCTATGAAAGTTACGAATAAAGCTCTGAAAATTGCAGCATATCTAAATTACATCTCGGTCTGAAATCTCAATAAAGTAAAATTGAAATTTTAATCGATTTAATTGTGATACTTTTTGGCCTTCATTGGCCGTCACGAAATTACCTTTGGCCAAAAGTACTTTCGTAAAATACGCTTGGAAGGCCCATGAGGGAGAAAAACACTACAAATGAGTCGGTTAACACTTAATTTAACTTTAAGAAAATGAACGACACTTTTTAAAAACATGTTTCGACAGTTATTCTGTCATCTTCAGTTCTGAATAATACAAAGTACAAAGTTGAATTTTAAGTGTGT